ATGACGTGGCGTACGGAAGGCGCAGGTCCAAGCGCACGTAGCTGGCATGAGCTGGGTTCGGCACGGAGGGCACAACGTAGTCGTAGCTTTGGCCGAGCACGAGCCATGAGAGGTGTCCGAGGAGCACGAGGCCCCAGAGTCGCAGTGCCATCCTCGGGTCGAGTTGTCTACTGCGCCGACGCGTCGAACACGTGGGAAAACCTTCCAAAATGTGTCTCTTGTGAAGGGTCACCACGCTCCAAGGACCTCTCAACCAAAGGTCGTACGAGCTTTTAGCTGCATCGATCGCGCTTGTCGACCTCTTGGCTCATGGTCATAGCGTCGTATAGATCATACATATATACCCTGTATAGTACACCAGTCGCCACTCCAACTACCGCTTGCGTGGTAGACGCTGTCTCATGGAGGATCGCATGGAAGAAGACCACAGATATATGTCGAACAAGAGAACGTTCGGGGTACGTACCGCGGGGAGTCATAGTACCGAGTAACTTGACTGTACCCAGCCCTGACTTGTACCGGGCACCGAACTCGTCGTGCAGTCACGTCAGAGTGCATGCTTCAATATAACCGAAACGCACCAAAATATGCCCGGTCATCAAACTCAGTCAACCATGCACACGTGGCGCGTAGCATTCGAGTGAGCTTTCGAATGGCCTGTTCGCTCAGGGGGAAAAGGGCTGTATTACCGCTGCACCTCGGGCGAGGCGTGGCGGGTGGCTTAGCGGAGATTGAAACTTGTTTGATCAGCTTGTCCGAAAAGTCGTGGGTTCTGCCAAACCGTCTTCCCTTCGACTTTTTGCAGGCGTGAAACACCCCCAGTCGAAGCATTCGATAAAAACTGTGGATTCCAATGTCCTTTGTTCAGAAGGCAGTAGGTAGGCACTTGAATTGGCCAACAGATGTCATCGCCGCGACTGAGCGCCATGACTGAGCTCAAACAGAGTGGCCGATTGAGCTCCACGTTCCACGTCCGCGCTCATGAGCGCAATTTTTTGGATCCCATCGACTCCATCCCGTCCATGACGTGGCGGCCTCCTAGCGGTGTCCGAGCATTATTGACTACCAGGCATTCAGCTTCGCACACAACTCACACATACAGTGAGCCAAGTGGTCGCTATCCGAATGACTGCTGGCAGCACGCTTACGTTGCCTTAGCTTAGTGGCCGCTTTAGGACCACACGGCCCCGCTTCGCTCCAAGTGTCATCCGTATGCGTTCTACTTCAGCTCCGTGTGGATGCCAACCAGTACATCTCCCCTGCCTGCCTAGTTCACTCTAGGTTGCTTGGCAGAGTACGAGGCTTTCCTGTGGCGCGGCGGGTACGTTTCAGTGTTTCTTTTCACAAAGATTGGGCATGCATTTACATGGACACCATTACATACACTAGGATGTACGGTACGGGAAGCCGAACGCAGCGACGTTGAACGGCACGACTTGGTACAGCCAGCTCGCGGGCGCAGACGATACAGTGGCGGTCGCGCCGACAACGGTGATGGCCGGTAGCGGCGCAATGTAGTTGGTATATGACAGCGTAAGGCTCCACGACGTCACGCCTGTGGAGACAGACGTAGCGGTCACTTGGCCCATACCGCCGAGTAGCGCCTGCACAGACGCCGCGATCGTCGCTACTGGCGTTGCCAAGGCCACATTGGGCACGCTGCCGACGCTGGAGCCCCACAGACTCAGCTGCAACGTCACCACGCTCGTCGCGCCAAACGAGATGGTCTGGACGGCAGTCGTCGCCGTTGGCACAATCATGCGGTTGGCGTGGACGGACGTGATGTTGGTCGCGAGACTCGAGTCGGCGGCGACGGGACACGCGTTCTGCAGCACGCAGCTCGTCGCGGCGGCAAAGAGACTCGCGCTCGCCAAGGCTTGGTTGGCAAAGCACGTCGTGGTGTTGGCCGTCGCGTTCACCGAAGAAAACAGCGGCAACGTTTGGAGGGCGTTGAGAGTCGACGCCATCGCCGCGGTCGTGCGCCAGCAGCTCATCACGTTGGCACATGCGGCGTTGGCAGCGCACGTGCTATACTGCGAGAGGCACGCATTGCAGGTCCCTACACATTATACCGTCAGTCTCGGTCGCATCCAGGATAAAACACGTACCGCTGAGCACGAGAGCCGTGTTGGTGTCGGTTGTCGGCGGCAACAACGACAGCGTTTGGCTGCTTTGTGCGGCGCGCGCTGCGGTGGCTGTCGCAACCGACGACGTGACCAACGGCAACGGCAACGGAACCGC